CAGTTGCTACAAAACAAAATGTCTTCCACTGCACCAACCCCATGAACAGAGGACCGTCTTTTAACGACAATCTGTATTTTAGGTACAAACACCCCATTCCCCCAATTTCACATATCTACTCTCTCTCCTGACCCCACCCCAGAAGTGACGGTCATGAGGCATGACGGCTTTTGGGCCCACTCCTGAGATCTAAGCTGACCCCATCCCACCCTCCAAACAGGAAAAAGGGAAGGAAAAGAAAAACTCAGAAACCTGAAGATTGTTTGGAATTTATTCTCTTAAATAAGAATGGTAACAGTTGTTAAAAAAATTAAAAGCACAACACCTTAGTTTCACAGTAACAGCAAAAACAAAATTACACAATTAAATTAAAAAACTCACAGACACACCAAAACGCACAGCACAGATTAAAAACAAGGGCAAAAATAAAGGCTGTAGGGAAGGCCAGAAGCGGACAGGTGAGGTGATCCTTGGTGCAGCATGGCCTCCCCGCTATGGCATCTGCATTGCCACTGTGGGAGCCTGGCTGGTGCCACCCCTACTCCTCCTCTGCCCTCCATCCCAAGCTGAACAGCCCAGGAAAGAGGGAACCCCTGCATTCACTGGTCAGGCCCATGAGGAGGGACTAAGAATGGTCCACTACCCTTCAGAAATACACGAAACACCAAGACACAGAAGGAAGCCACAGTAACTAACCCAGGGTAATAATAGATTCACACGTCTGGAAGCAAAATGGGGCAGGGAGTTGCTTCTCTGTGGGGGTCTGGTAGCAACAGAACCCTGCTTTCCTAATCTGCTCCTCAGTCAGCTTTCTGAGGTTGAGGCTGCATACTGCTCACTTCCTGACATACGGCCCCTCCCCCCCAGCCCCCAAAGTCTCCACCTCCACAGGTGTGCTGGGCTACTCTGTTCCCTCCCAATCCTGCCCAGAACTCTAAGTCAGGCCAGTGTCATACTTCCCCACTGGAAAAACTCTTGGTTTCCAGAACCAAGAAACAAGAAGCTTCAGAAACAGCTTCATTATTATGGTTATAATTATTTAGGACACAATATATAAATATCTACTTGTATATATAAAATTCTACCTATATAAATACACATGTGTGTATGTATAAATATTTACACAACACCATCAAATTATGACTCTTGGGGGAGGGGTTGGGGAGTTAAGCTGGACTGCACAATTTTCTTTGCTCTACTAAGAGGTTTTCCAGAAATGCCTCTAAGGGAAGAGGGCTTGGGAAGCAGTGAGATTTCATAACTTCATCCTATCAGGCAGGAACCCCAGGACTGCATGGAATCCCTTGTATTGCATGGCTATGCTGGCCCATATAGCATCCAAACTATGGAACCTAATGGTGATCATGCAAAGGTTGTCTTGCTAACTGCCTATGGGCAGCTTTTAAAGTTAAGAACACCATTTCCATCCCACCTCTGCTGCCTGTGCTAGAAGAAAAGCTCTTCTCTTCCCTTCTGAGTCCCCACAACCCTTATTATCCTCTATAGGAAATGTAAAGGGGATCCCTCCAAACAAAGAAAGTATCCAAAAAACCTGCAACTAAGGGTCTTGTGTCCAAGGAGAAAATATCTCATTTGGGGTTTTTCTTTCTCTACCTGTTGTTGTTTCAACTTTTCTTAAAGTCAGGGCAGGTACTAGGAGGCCAGGGTGGGAAACCTGTGCCAAGTCCACTAACCTATAGCAGTAGGCATAAGAAGTTTGGAAACAAAGCATGTACAGACTTGGGGAAGAGGGTTTCTATATTAAAAGCACATTATAAACAACAGTAAGCAATGTCTTCCTCCCAACACTAGATTAGCAACAGGTACAGACAGATTAGGTTACCAGAGAGAGACAACACTACAAAGCAGGCCTAGAGTAGGTTCTCCCAACTTGTGAGTTTGTTTTTTGGGCAACAGCAGTAATTTTGGCATAAGGGGCAAAGAACACAAGGGAGAAGAGGGTAGTGCCACAAATACAGTAGTAGCACTCAGCAAAAGCACAGGAGGGCCGTGTGCCAGCTGTTGCCCTAGCTTTCCCAGCTCTGCCTCCTGGGGGTTATGGTCTAGGAGGATGGCTCATGTATATACAGTGAAATTAAGTTCATTCCCTTACAGCTTTCTCGGCTAGAGTGCAGGAGAGGAGACGTGCCATGGATCTGGGTAATGACTGCCTTCTAGGACACACACTCTGGAACCCTAAAATACCTGAGTTCTTCTGAAGCTCCTCAAAAGGAGCTTTAGTTTGGGATTTATAGAAAGATATCCCTATCAAAGGAAAAAAGGAAATCTACTTGATGCCACCTATAAAATATCACCCATAGCTCTGTTCCTTTTCTACAGAAGCTGGTAAGAATGAGACGCCTCATAGGGGAAGTGCTGGTGCTCTGGAGCATCTTCAGACTCAGGGCTATCATTCCCCAAAGCCCAAGGCTCCAGAGGCAGATACTAAGGGAACCCTATTAGCCCTAAGTTCTGATCTTCGGTGCCTTAAAGTGGAGGGACAGTTCCTGCCTCATTCATTTTAGGGGTTTGTGATGCCACATCTGAACCCCTTGTACTAGGATAGGCATGTCGTCTTCAGAATCAAGAACCACAGGGGCTGAGACATCCTTAGGGATTTGATTCTTTCTCGGTTGATTTTTTTTTTTAATATATTGTGTAGTTATTTTTTTAAGAGTTTATTTATTTATTCATGAGAGACACAGAGAGAGAGAAGCACAGACACAGGCAGAGGGAGAAGCAGGCTCCATGCAGGGAGCCCGACGTGGGACTCGATCCCAGGTCTCCAGGATCATGCCCTGGGCTGAAGGCGGCGCTAAACTGCTGAGCCACCCGGGCTGCCCTCTCGGTTGATTCTTTAAACTACATTGTCAAACTCTTATCTTTTCTCTTTGCTTTGTAGAATATTCTTCTCCTTCTCTACAGAAACTTTAAACCCATTACGTTTTCAAACTAGACAGCAAGTATGGCAAACTGAACCACATGGGAAAGTGAACAAACCTGGCTTGCTTAGAAATGACCTGAACTTCATCGTGTTTAACTTTTTCTGAAGAATGTTCTGTACTTGCTACCCAAAAAGAAAGTTTCATTTCTTTGAGTTGTTTTATTGAGTAGCCAAGTTCCTTGGGAAACACATGTGAGCTGGAACAAGGCCCAGACTGAGGAGGTGGTGCTCTTAACCTGGTCAAATGCATACTCTAGAGCCCAGGGCCAAAGCCTCTGTCTAGATCACTGTGCTAATTTTTCTCTACCAGCACTTCCCCCTGGTGCTTTGAGAGTGTCAACTGCAAAAGGCTGCTAGCATTTCACGGGAAAGACAGATTAGAAAGGTCTTGAGGCTATAGGTTCCAAAGTCATTCGTGCCTGAAACACTGCTACAAAACGTTGGTCCAACTGGCAGGGCACTTAAAAAGCTTTCCCGGATTTTAATAAGGGCACACACAGGAGCAGAAGCTGAATTCCCTAACTCAGCTGGAGTTTCCTAGGTCTCAGCCTCCAAATCACTGCCCTCTCTGGGCACATTCTCCCTTTCTCTAATTCTTTTTTTTTTTTTTTTTAAGATTTTATTTTATGTATTCATGACAGACATAGAGAGAGAGAGAGAGAGAAAGAGAGAGAGAGAGAGAGAGAGAGAGAGGCAGAGACGCAGGCAGAGGGAGAAGCAGGCTCCCTGAAGGGAGCCTGATGTAGGACTTGATCCCAGATCCCGGGATTACACCTTGAGCCATAGGCAGGTGCTCAACCACTGAGCCACCCAGGCATCCCCCTTTTCTCTAATTCTTAAGCACAGGAAAGAAGCAACCCTGAAAAATCGAAATTTGAAATTTGAAAATTTCAAATTTTTCTTTTGAAAGTGGAGTGGATAATTCTTCTCGTTTCCCATTATGGAACTTTTACTACCAATTTCTTCTCCATAGTTTCTACATTAGCTGATAATCTTTAGTTTTTTTATGGTAGCTTTTGTGAATTTGCAAATGGCTGCTTGAGATAGATCTGCTGTGAAAGACAGAAAAAGTGTGAGAAACAGAAACATAGCCCTGTTGACTTATTCTCTCACCTATACAATGACCCTGGTTTGTACACAGTCTAGGGCTGCACTGAGGGTACTGAGAACACCCAACAGTTTGTGGACCTGGGGACACATCCCACAGGCTAGAGCAGAGAAAGGCAATTTTAAGAAAAAAAAAAAAAAAAAAAAAAAAAAACTACAGTTTTTCACAACAAACCTAATGTCCATGAACCCATGAGCTAAAACCAGAGTAAATGTGTTTTTACACGTACAGATAGAATCATTTACTTCCTGACACAGGAAATGATTAGTGGAAATGGAACAAATTAGGGTTTGGTCCGCATTACAAGTTCAAATGCCCCAAAGTGATTAGGACAAGGCATGACCTTTAGTGGCTGCAGGTCAAATAGAAGAGCAGTGTTAGCTTATCTGGATACCTAAATAGGGAGTTGGATACAAGAAGTTCAAGTTTAAGTGATCATGAATCTAGATCATGGGGCCTTATTACAATTCTATGCTCTGTCAAAGGAATCTAAAACAAGGTGGCCCTGTGACTCTGGACTGTCACTTGGATCAGTGATAAAAGCAGCCAGTTCTGAATTCCTGTCTACCTGGATAATATCTGGACCAACCACCTGGGTGTGTCTTACGAGCGTGGGTCAGCCCCAGGACTAGAGCAACAATACTTTGAGATTTTGAATAGACATTACTGAAGCTCAGGTGATACCGCTTACCAGATGGCGCCCCTATTGGCTCACGGTCTGCCAGTGAAACTCCCCCCTGATTTGTACCAGCACCTCCGACAGGCCATAGAGAAAGGGGACTCCAAATGCAAGCAGCTGGCACATGAAAAAGGAGTCCAAAGGGTTTTGGGCCACTTGATGCCCAATCGAAGAAATGTTGCTTTGGAGGTGCTGGCTCATCCCCTTGGCCTTGTCACAGAGGCCGAGAGAGTGATGCACCACCCAGCCAAACAAGGAAGTGAGGCTACCTGGAGTTCTCTCAGCAGGGCTGGTGACAGCGCTGGCCCGTCCATTTGTGTCCACAGCGGGGCCATCCTGCAGGGGTTCTCTGGCCTCCTAGGAAAGTTCACAAGAAAAAGAAGAATGACTGACTGAAGCACTCAAATCTCAAAGGGCAATGGCACCTGCCTGGCTAGGCTGCTGCTCTCACCAGTCAATCTAGACTGTGAGAAACACACAGTATTTAAAAAACCAGGACATATTTCACGGGGGAAATCACCAGGAGTCAAAATCTAGTTCCACTTTGGAATATCCTCCCTTTCCCCACAAGTCCCTCTCAGGGATGCCTGAGTTAGCCGGCATGTTGATAAAGTAACATCCTGTAGTGAAGGGAATACCTGGCTCACCTTGACAAAGATAGGTGGAGGTGCCAGTTACTCTCATTTAAAAAAAAAAAAAAAAAAAAAAAAAGGCTAAGGAAAAAGGTACTTAGATAAGTAATTCACAGAATAAAGAAAGTTAAAGGAATGAGTAAGCAGCAGATTATTTACAGCCAACCAAGTTCTTTTTCAGGGTGTCCTTCTCTTAGAAGGATGCTTGTTTACAATGACTAAAGTCTTCTTTTATATAGAATAAGCAGAAGAGTCCACTAACATGGTCTCTCAAATCCGACTCGGGTGGTGGATGGAATAATACGTTAGTGAAATGCAACATCAAGATTATACTCAAAAAATTAGTTTCCTCCCCAATGGACTGTGACTGACTCTTAGGCCCTTTCCCCACACAAGGAAGGCAACATAGTGGCTGGCCATTTAGTGTGCCAGGCTAACCATAGCCTCACCTGTTACCACACTAAAATGCACCTGCTGATTCTCCCCACTTACAGATGGATTACCATTACCTTTCCAGAGAGAGGAGCCACTGCCGGTCTCTTCCTCTGTGCAGAGCCGGAGAGTCGATAACAGTAGTGTGGTTTGCAGTAGAATTTACCTGTAGGCAGCAAGAGGCAGGGGAAAGAAAGTGAGCGAGACCCTTAATTCTGAACTTGACTCCCTGGTCTTAGCACACTCTTAAATATCTCCTGTAGTCACAGGGCACTGTCACTACTGCCCAGGCTTCTTGTCCAGGGAGGCCAAGCCCTCCCTATAAACTTCGATTTCAGCCCTCCTCTCCCCTTTGCCTACAGGGGGAGGGGACTTTTTTTGGGTATGTGAAGACCATTGAGCCATCACCCAATCAGCGCCCAGAGCAAAGATGTGAAGCTTGCACAGCAGGGCCAGCAAACAAAGTGGCAGTGTGTGCAGAACAAAGATGTGGTCACATGGAAAGCTGGGACTAGCATTTCCAGGGAAACTAAGAATGAACATAAGCGCAGGGTGGAGGTATGGAGGCTGCAGGGAGTGGGGCAGCATTGAGCACTGGCTCTGACAGGACCCTCTCTGCTGCTCCCCTCTCCTGCAACCATCCACAAGCCAGCCTTGTAATCCCTTAGTGGGTCAAGATCAGCATTAAAAAAACAATATCTGGGGGCATCACAATGCCAGATTTCAGGTTGTACTACAAAGCTGTGGTCATCAAGACAGTGTGGTACTGGCACAAAAACAGACACATAGATCAATGGAACAGTATAGAGAACCCAGAAGTGGACCCTGAACTTTATGGTCAACTAATATTCGATAAAGGAGGAAAGACTATCCACTGGAAGAAAGACAGTCTCTTCAATAAATGGTGCTGGGAAAATTGGACATCCACATGCAGAAGAATGAAACTAGACCACTCTCTTGCACCAGACACAAAGATAAACTCAAAATGGATGAAAGATCTAAATGTGAGACAAGATTCCATCAAAATCGTAGAGGAGAACACAGGCAACACCCTTTTTGAACTTGGCCACAGTAACTTCTTGCAAGATACATCCACGAAAGCAAAAGAAACAAAAACAAAAATGAACTATTGGGACTTCATCAAGATAAGAAGCTTTTGCACAGCAAAGGATACAGTCAACAAAACTCAAAGACAACCTACAGAATGGGAGAAGATATTTGCAAATAACATATCAGATAAAGGGCTAGTTTCCAAAATCTACAAAGAACTTATTAAACTCAACAGCAAAGAAACAAACAATCCAATCATGAAATGGGCAAAAGACACGAAGAGAAATCTCACAGAGGAAGACATAGACATGGCCAACATGCACATGAGAAAATGCTCTGCATCACTTGCCATCAGGGAAATACAAATCAAAACCACAATGAGATACCACCTCACACCAGTGAGAATGGGGAAAATTAACAGGGCAGGAAACAACAAATGTTGGAGAGGATGCAGAGAAAAGGGAACCCTCTTACACTGTTGGTGGGAATGTGAACTGGTACAGCCACTCTGGAAAACTGTGTGGAGGTTCCTCAAAGAGTTAAAAATAGACCTGCCCTACGATCCAGCAATTGCACTGTTAGGGATTTACCCCAAAGATTCAGATGCAATGAAACGCCGGGACACCTGCACCCCGATGTTTCTAGCAGCCATGTCCACAATAGCCAAACTGTGGAAGGAGCCTCGGTGCCCATCGAAAGATGAATGGATAAAGAAGATGTGGTCTATGTATACAATGGAATATTACTCAGCCATTAGAAACGACAAATACCCACCATTTGCTTCAACGTGGTTGGAACTGGAGGGTATTATGCTGAGTGAAGTAAGTCAATCGGGGAAGGACAAACAGTGTATGTTCTCATTCATTTGGGGAATATGAATAATAGTGAAAGGGAATATAAGGGAAGGGAGAAGAAATGTGTGGGAAATATCAGAAAGGGAGACAGAACATAAAGACTCCTAACTCTGGGAAACGAACTAGGGGTGGTGGAAGGGGAGGAGGGCGGGGGGTGGGGGTGAATGGGTGACGGGCACTGAGGGGAACACTTGACGGGATGAGCACTGGGTGTTATTCTGTATGTTGGTAAATTGAACACCAATAAAAATTAATTTATTAAAAAAAAAAATAAAAATAAAAATAAAAATAAAAATAAAAAAACAATACAAAACTGGGCAGCCCCGGAGGCCCAGCGGTTTAGCGCTGCCTTCTGCCAGAGTGTGATCTTGGAGACCTGGGATCGCGTCCCACGTCGGGCTCCCTGCACAGAGCCTGCTTCTCCCTCTGCCTGTCTCTCTCTCTCTCTCTCTTTCTCTCTCTCTCCCAATCTGTGTCATGAATAAATAAATAAAATCTTTAAAAAAAAATCTTCAAGAAACTAATAAAAAAAAACCCACAATACAAAGCCAAACCAAAAAATCCTGCAATGGACTATGACTAGAATGAAGCAGAATAAAATGCATTAAAGTGCACTGTGGCATCATCAGAGTTAAGTGTTAGTCCTTATAGCTCTTGGTTGTTGTCTGTCTACATGTGTTTACTGAGTCCTAACATAACATGTATTTTCTTTTGCAAGTGTGGTCCAAAGTTTGAAAAACAAGACCCTGGCTTTTTCCATGACACTGGTAGTGGGAGTAAGTCACAAAGGATCACTTTTTCTGGCTCTTTCCTTACTCCCACTTTAAAGAGCCAAGGCTTTTGAAAATTAAAGGAAAGACCCTATCATAGAAACTACCGAAACAGGAGTAATCCCACGCATCCTTTTCATTTGCAGAGGGTACTCCTTTGACAAATGAACTTTCCCGATCTCAAAGTTAAAATAAGAGAACCTAACCAGAAAACCAATAAAAAAAGGTCAATGAAAACTATGGGCTGGCTTTTTGAAAAGATAAACAAAACTGACAGACCTTTACCATACTAATTTAGAAAAACAGAAGGCTCAAATAAATAAAATCAGAAATGAAAGAGGAGACTTTTAATGGATACCACAGAAATACAAAGGATCATGAGAATCTGCTAAGTATAATTACACACCAACAAGCTCGATAACCTAGAAGAAATGAATAGAGTCCCAAAAACATACTACATACCAAGACTGAATCATGAATACAGAGAAAGTCTGAACATACTAATATTGGGTAAAGAGAGTGAATCGATAATCAAAACCCTCCCCAAACAGTAAAGTCCAGGATCAGATGGCTTCACTGGTGAATTCTACCAAATATTTCAAGAAGAATTAACAGCAATCCTTCTCAAAATCTTCCAATACTCTAAACAGGATGGAATATTCCCAAACTTATCTTACAAGGTCAACATTACCCTGATACCACAGACAGATAAGGACATGACAAGAAAATTACAGACCAATATCCCTGAGGAACACAGATGCAAACATTCTCAAGAAAATATCAGCAAACCCAGTTCAACAGCACATTAAAATGGTCATTCACCATAATAAAGTGGAATTTATCCCTGGGATACAAGGATGTTTCAAGATATACAAATCAATAAACATGGTATACCACATGAAGAGAATGAAGATCAGGATCACATGATCTCAACAGAGCCAGAAAAAGCATTTGATAAAGTGTAACATCCTTTCATAATAAAAACACTCAACAGACAAGATTACAGAAGTAACATACCCTAGTACAAGAAACACTGTATACAACAAAGATGAAAGGTCGAGACCTTTTCCTCTCACATGAGGAAGACAAATGTGCCCACTCTCACCATGCCCATTCAGCAAAGTGCTAGCAGTTCCAGCCGGAGCAATCACGTAAGAGAAGGAAATAAAGGGTATCCAAATAAGAAAGGAAGGAATAAAACTGCCTTTGTTGGAAGATGATTATGATCTCACATACAGAAAATCCTAGACTAGACTCCACTGAAATACCACCAGAACTAATCAATACATTTGGTAAAATTGCAGGATTCAAAATAAATACATAGAAAGAAATTGTTTCTATACATTAACAACAAAAAATCTGAAAAAGTAAAGAAAACAATTCCTTTCACAGTAGCATCAAAAAAAATAAAAGACGGGCAGCCCGGGTGGCTAAGCGGTTTAGCGCCGCCTTCAGCCCAGGGCATGATCCTGGAGACCCAGGATTGAGTCCCATGTCAGGCTGCCTGCATGGAACCTGCTTCTCCCTCTGCCTGTGTCTCTGCCTCTCTCTCTGTGTCTCTCATGAATAAATAAATAAAATCTTTTTTTTTAAAAAAAAAAGACTTAGGAATAAATGTAATCAAGGCAGTAAGAGATCAACACAGTGAAAACTACAAGAGCTTGATAAACTGAAAAAGATACAAATGGAAAGATATCCATGTTCATGGATCAGAAGAATTAATATTGTCAAAATGTCCATGTTACCCAAAACCACTGATAGATTCAATGCAATTTTTATCAAAATTTCAGTGGCATTTTTCACAGAAATAGAAAAAAATAATCCTAAATTTTTTTAAAAAAGATTTTATTTATTTATTCATGAGAGACACACACAGAGAGAGGCAGAGACATAGGCAGAAGGAGAAGCAGGCTCCATGCAGGAAGCCCAATGTGGGACTCAATCCCGGGATTCCAGGATCATGCCCTGGGCCAAAGGCAGATGCTCAACCACTGAGCCACCCAGGCATCCCCTAATTCTAAAATTTGTATGGAGCTACAAAGACCCTGAATAGCTAAGGCAATAACTGAGAAAGAACAACAAAGCCAGAGGCATCATCCTTCCCAATTTCAAACTACATCACAAAGTTATAGTAATCAACATAGTACATGGCACTGGCATGAAAGCAGACACACAGACCAATGAATACTCAAAAATAAACCCCACATATACAGGCAACTAATATCTGAGAAGAGAGCCAAGCATACTTAATGAGGAAAGGATGGTCTCTTCAATAAACAATGTTGGGAAAACTGGATAACCACATGCAGAAGAATGGAATTGGACCTCTATCTTACACCGCTCACAAAATGAACTTGAAATGGATTAGAGATTTAAGTCTAAGGCTTTAAACCACAAAACTTTTCCATAAGAAAATAGGGGAAAAACTCCTTGACATTGGTCTCTGCAGTGATTTCCTAGATATGATAGCACAAGCACAAGCAACAGAAGTA